AGGGGGGAAGAAGACAGGACAGGAGAGGAGAGGAGAAGAGGGGGAGGGGGGAGGAGAGGAGGGGTAAGAGGACAGGAGAGGAGGGGGAGGAGAGGAGAGGAGCAGAGAAGAGAAAAGGATGGGAGGGCATGTGGAGGTGAGGAGAAGAGAAGAGGAGGGGAGGGGAGGAGAGGAGAGGAGAGAAGAGGGGAGAAGAGGAGAAGAGAGAAGAAGAGAGGAGAGAAGAGAGAGGAGAGCAGAGGAGGGAAGAGGAGACGAGAGGAGAGGAGAGGAGAGGAGAGAGGAGGAGAGAGGAGAGGAGAGGAGAGGAGAGGAGAGGTTAGCTGTACTGAGTGTGTGGACACAGGTAGTCAGTGCACCTTCTCTGTAGCTGCCCCCTGCTGTTGTCCAGTGGTAAAGTAAGATACTCAAGAATAAATGAAACTAAATAAAACAGTGGGACAGAAAACTTAGGCTTGACTTGTTAGTGCAGCTCCTGTCTGGAGCTCTCTAACAAAGCCCTGAGAGATGCTGATAAGAGGATGCTGTGTTAATGCACTGCATCAAATTGGTCTTTCCCACTGCTGTCAAACATTTATTCTGTTTCTGTCAGGAATCTAAAGGTGTAAATTAAGTCAGTAATAAAGAATCGGATCTGTGTTAACAACTAAATGATTGACTTCAGCCGAAAACCCAGATCACGTCAGATACATTGAGTTAGACTGAGAATGAAGACATCGCTCACGATGCTGTGTCTGATGTCAGCTCTGTGTCTGGGGACCTGAAGTGCACGAGGCTTGTTTCTATGTATGTTTCACACAAGCATGACCAGGACTGGTACAGATCATCAATACATAAATCAATATGTTCACTGGTGATATGTTATCGATCCACCAGTACCAGCAGTGGAGGTGTTTGTAGATGCTGCCTTTCACCACTTCATGGCAGGTTGAGTGCTGCAGTTTACAGAGGGTCCAGTTTGCTTTTTAATCTCAGTAGAAACCCACCGACATGTGTGCAAAGAGGTGATGAAGACCTTCTGAAGCTTCATTTCAGGCAGCTCGGTCCTGTAGTGCTGCTTTCTGCCTTGGAATAAAAACATTGTTGTTTAAATATTAGTGCATTTCAACCATCTGAAATTCTTTCTTTGTACAAACAGCACAGAGCCAGTTTATCGGTGTCAAATATACCTCTGCTTTTCTTTTCTGCTTTAATGAACCAGTTTCCCCTCAGAGATGAAACACATTCCCTCTGCTCTACCTTCTAGAAATTCTTCTCTCACACAATAACAGTACCTTACATTTTGTGCAAACACTGGCAGCTGATGTACTTTTGTATATGATCAATCGTAGCTGACAATCACGCTGCCGCCTCTTCACTGCTGTGTGTACATTTTTTTGTCCTTTGTGTGCAGCAGATTGTCAATGTGAGAAGATGTGGAGGTTTTACTGGAGTTGGGGGTTGGGACGGGGCTCCGGGTTTGATTTTATCCTCTTTTAAAGACCCAGAGAATACAGAAAAAGCTCAGAGGGGGAGGGGAAAGATGCCAGTGAAGAGAGGTTGAAGGGGGGTGGCTGGCTGGCTGGATGGGTTTCAGAGGTGGAGGTTGGGGGGTGGGGAGAGGGAGCAGCTTTCACTGCAAGCAGAATGGAAGTGCATGTGTGTGTGTGTGTGTGAGCTGGGGGAGGAGGCACTGTGTCAAAGTCGATGGGGGTGTATATTTTGTTTTATGGTTACGAGGGGACGCATAAATCTCAGTTTCATTAAACGGCTTCAATCTCAGAGCGCTGCCCCGCCCCCTCCCCAGTGAGACATCCCTCTTTCTTCTCCAGCCATCCTTCCTTACTTTGCCCTCCATCTTCTTCTGCTCCCATCCTCCTCCATCACTCCATCTAGCTCTCCTCTGAGTCTTCCCTTCCCAACCCCCCCGCCTATCACTGCCATTGTTTTCTCCATCATTCCTCGACTACGTGTGACACGGGAAGGTCAGAGGTCAGAGCATCAACAACAAGAAAAGCCAAAGTACTGTCAAGGCTGAAGAACAAAAATGAAGGAGAAACAGCTCTTTATTTAAATAAATATGAAAAAGAAGCACAACTTGTCGTCTCCACTCAGGCGAGACGAAACCAACCAAACATTATCTGTTTATTTTTCTTTTTTGTAAAATTCCCATGAATGGCGTGAGGTCGTTTTTTGGCAACTGAAAACAAACACTTCTCTACAGTCTACAGATGATACAGAGACAACATCCTCTTCAACATATAAAAATACTATGACAAAATCAATGCATTATAGGTTTATAATATATATTACAATCTGTTAGGCTGCTACTGCGTGTACTGTGCAGTTATAACAATCAAAGCTACGTTAGTTTCATTCTGTTTCATGAGACAGCTCAGCTTTTGTGGAAAATTTAACTCAACGGCTAAAAAACAAGTTAAAACAACTTCACACACCTTGTATTTTTGTTTCATGTCCATATAAATAACGTCATCATGTATAAAAGCTACGTTTTCTGTGCGATGCGTTCACTGGCTCTTGTGGCAAATGGGAGAGGAAGCGTTTGATCTGAACACACTGTATATAATGAAGCTCATCAGGGACGAATACACACACATTTTTGTACTTCTATACGTTGGAGGACCCTCATTCCTATAATGAGTTCTGTTGACAGTGACCCAGCCCTAGCCCTTTCCTAGAGCTGTGTATTGTTTCAAATACAACTGCCTGTACTGATAAAAATATACCTTATAATAAGGAATGCCAACATGCTTTCCTACAAACCCTTATTTATTTGGGGGGAAAAGCCAGATTTCTCAAAAGTCAAAGCATTCCAGTGGTTTTGCACGGTCTAGCCCATTTACTAGCACCATATTGCAACCAGTTTGCGCTGTTTTCCATACAACATGAAAATCAATTACAGTGAACAACTAGTCATCAAGCCAAACTTGCTGCTATGCAATTACAGCTGCAAAGATTTTAGCCAATTGAAATTAAATAATAGTTTTCAAGCAAAAATGCCAAACATTTGCTGGTTTCCTGTTCTCAGAAATGAATGGATGCATTTCTTTTTTTATGCTCAGGAACTTATAAACAATGCCTCGATAGATATATCGATGTAACACTTTATAATGTGTAAACCTACTTGGGAAAGAATTTAGTGATGAGGCAGCAGTCAGTGAATTACAGACAACAAGTAACAGATGAATGACTGGATCATTAAATTAATAAGACCGAGCTAGAATTCAGACAAACTCAAATATATTTTGTACAGTGGTCCTAATCCTCTTCTGTACTAATCAGTCTGGTTTAAACTGATTAAACATTCTGTCAACTTGATGTTCACAGATTTCACTTGACTGCCTCAGGGTTCTCACACTGTACAGAAACAAATGCAAAGTAATGGAAACCTGGACAAATTCTTGTAGAAACAAAACTCTAAAACTAAATAGCATGCAATGGTTAAATATACAGGACTTGTGATTAAGGAGCAAACACTTGCAAAGGCACTGTTATTGCCTCTTACATTAACTTTTAACCTCTTGACTAAACAAAATAGCCTTAAACTTGCAAAATTATTATTTAAATCAGGAATTTTCAGATTAAACAATAAGCAAAAAAAACACTGATACTCTAAGCAGATGTCAACTTTTCATGCTTTACCTTCATCACCAGTCTGTGCTACAGCTTTGACCAGCACAGACAAAGCATTTAGCTTTAATCCCCAACACTTTAACCTGATCCTGAACTTAACCCTCGAGCTGCCCTCTGAAGAAGTGAAGACCGGACAAAATCCTCTCTATAAAAACTGGTCCTCACAAAGATGGAAGAACAATAACAGACACGCACACTCCTACCCGCATACTAGTCTAAACCGGGTGAAAGGGCGTCTGGCGAGCAGCGATGGAAACGTTTCACAACCCCTCTGGTGTCCCCGTGAACCCCGTGACCTTTGACCCCGAAGGCCGTATTGATGTCGTCTTGGAGGAAGTGGAACAAGCGTGACAGCTCGCTGCCAACGTCATGTCTCATTCATGAACGTTAAACAAACTGTTAACGGACGTCGGCAGATGTTTGCTCACACACACTGGTTTGTGCTGATTGTTAGTATGAAGAGACCTGATAGATCTCAGTGGACTTGTTCTGTCGCCAGGCATATTAATGAAATGCTTCTTGTAAACCTCACTGGGGGGCTGACATGGTGAAAATATCGCAGGTTAGTCAGGATGAATCTGATTTACTCTACAGACACTCGGGCATCCTGCTAGTGTGGTGCACAATATTCCAGTCTTGTATCATAAACCTTCAACAGTCTGCCTCAAGTTAGGTCCCTGAAGTTATGTCACTCATGTTACACCCCTATGGTGGCCCATGATATTGCTATTTCTATTTTTTTAAAGCTTTTTTTAAGCACAATGGAACATACAACAGGTTTAGCATGCCAGTCATTTAGCAGTGGTGAAGCTACAGATGCATAAGTGCACACTACATTTAGAACACTCCTATCTTAATATATTATATTTTCACTGCATTACCTTCCTGTCGGACAAAGAACTAAAGCTAATATATCAATCTATGCTCTCTTCAAAGCCATCAGACTCATTAAACAAAACAGCAGCAGCAGACCAGCAACTCCTGTGTTCTGAGGTAAAATTACTGCTGTCAATGGAGTCTGGTGTCTTTAAAAAGAGCAACGTGACGGCTTCAGCTCCCCGTCACAAAGGGTCATCTGAGATAAAGTCTAACTCCAGGGTACACTATATATGGGTTTTTTTTAGGTGTGCAGACAGTAATATTATGGCTATAAGTAGTAACATTCATCCTAAACAAAAACCCTCTGCTTTACAACGTGTACTATGTGTGCATTATCATGTGTAGTTACTTTCTCTCACTCACACACTAGCAGGCTAAGATAACAGTAGCTAACCTATTCTTCCTTCTCCTGTTTTTGGCGGTGTTTTTGGTGCGACGGCTCGCCCTCTAACTTGAGTGGCGTAAAGTTGGGGGCGTGACTTAGTGATGTATCATCAGGGGCCCAACTAGAGACAGTCTGCACACAGCAGCCTGACCTTTCTCTAAACTTTAATGCACTGAGTATCTTCTATTTAAATGCAAGCGGATTGAGCAGATGGGCGGTGGCCAATCAACACAGGTTTTCTTATTGATTCCATACATTTAAAACACATTTCCAGTCATGATTGAATTGAAATGGAAAGATTCATTTAACCAACCAAACAAAACACAACTTATGTGGCGATTTGACAATAAATGATGTCAGCAAACATTGAATATCATCAGATTTAGTTGTTTCCTGGTATTAAAATATGTGTGAAGTCAGTTTGGAAGAGGAATGAATACAATCATTTAAATCATGTTAAGATGGTGAGTGACTGTTTCTTTGAGCTCAGATTCCACCTTAAACTCAGTGACCTGGGTTTATTTTACAATTTAAACATGTCTACCATCAGCAAAGGTTTCTGTTTCAACCTGTTTGTTAATCTTAAGCGAACAAAACCCAAAAGCCACAACCTTTGTGAAATTTCTGTCTACACTGAATTTACAAAACATTGTCAAATTTATGCCACATTATGGAGGAAACCAGTTCCTTTGTAAGTAATAAGTCAACTCAGATGAAGAAATGATCCTGATCAACATGACTGATGTTCAAAGTGAAGAGCGCTCCTTACAATAGTCTGCTACTAGTTACTGAATTCACATTTCTGTACTTGTCCGTGATATCATATTTAACTTGCAGTTACTTTATCTACAGTCCCTGTGCTGTGCATCTGTTGTAAGACACATTGTTTCGCCTCCACAGCACATTCTGTGTTTCAGACATCATGCTCGTTCTACAAAATTCTGCGAGGCTGATGACAGTTTGAGGATTTCACCTTCCTGGTTATTGAGAGATCAGTACATAACGTCTGCTGTTGAAATGTGTAAACCTGACTCTGGTCACTGCTGAACAGCTTCAGCCACAACGTATAGAATAAAAAATGGTGTTTAGGGCCTCACCAGTGTAGTAGAGACATGAAGGAGCAGACATGTCTGAAACAAGCAACACTTTAAAATGTAGCCTCAGCTCATAAGGAGGCCCCTCCGTCATCACACTGACAGATCTCAGTGCTGCTGCTGACAAATGCCTGCACATCAAGTCTGAAGATCTTGCTGAGAAAACCCGAGCGACTTCTAATTCATCATATTTGACTGTGAAACCTTATAATTTATAAATGACTTAAATTAGGATCTTTATTTCCTGCCACAGGTCACTGCTCACCGACGCGACTGAACGAATGAAGAGCGGCACTGAAACAGCCAAACATCATAAACACATGAGGAGGCATATGGAGGCTTGTTGACACGTGAGCATGAATAATGAGCTGGACTTAGGTAGTTAGTGTGCAGGTTCTCCTGCAGCAGGCGAAGAAGAGGAAGATGACGATGAGGTTGACTCGTTGGTTTCATGTCTGGAGAGGGAAGAACTGTTTTATGTTACAAAATTACACCTGGGCGCAAAAGCACGTCAAAACAAACAACAAAAAAATGTCCTTTATCAGTGACAGAGTCCCTACAGTGTGTGTACCTCTTTAGCTTGGTGTGTGTTGTGCCTGTGTGTGTGTATCTGCACACCAATTCATCCACACTACTACACACACTCCTTGCAGCCACATTCCACAGGCTTCTCCACGTCCTGCATAAATGAGGTCCCATTGTTGCATTCGAAGCTGAGCCGCCGGCGCCGGACCCTCAGAGGAGCACAGCAGGAGGCGGCAGCGCCGCCTGGCTCGGGTCCTGCGCGGCACCGACAGGCTCGCCTCGACACGGGGACTCTGTGGACAGAAACACACAGTCCAGGCTCTTTAACTGTGTCAGCACAAGCTATGACAAAACATAAAATGAGAATAAAACTAAAACACCAATGTATTACCTTTTTGTCACTGAATAAGAACAAAATGTGACAGATGGACAAATGAACTACTTACTATACTACTATAAGCACAACAATATCCTCTGCTGCCCCCAAATCGTTTCTTGTCCAAATGTTAGGAAGCATCTTGCTTTTGGTAATGTTCTGTCTCTGTCAATAACAGTATCTGACATTACTCCTCTACAGTCCACTGAGCATTAGACAAGAAGTGACAAAATCAGCAGGGACAATCTACATAAACATGCAGGCAGCAGGTTTTTCCCAGGGTAAGCCAACATTATCTGGTGCTGTAGGTGTGGACCAAATACAAACACATGACAAATGTGAGACTAAAATGTCACTGATGAAAACTAGAATGAAATGTCTTAAGTCTTTTGTTGACCAGACCAAAAATTAACAAACATCTAATTATTAAAACTAGTAGGCAATTCAGTGTCAGAGTAAATCAAAATCAGGTGCCAAAATTAGCATCAAACTATCTCATGTCATACAAACAAATTCTAAATGATTTGCTGAACAAAACAGAACTTTTTACAAAAGCTATTTTCTTAAAAAAAAAAAAGCAGGCACTTTGGTCTCATTGGAGTAAATAGGAAAAGAAGTCAATGTGCAAATCTGGCAAACTGATCCTTTAGATTTTGAATACAACTCAATCAGTTTATCATAAGCCAAATTTGTTTTTGCACAAATGGGGCTAAAAGTTGTCAATAAACTGACTGAGCAGCAAAAATAAGTAATTATATTAAATACGTAAAGCCCTTTGTAAATGCAGCTATTTGCCTTTTAGAATTTGAATTACATCTTAATTGTTTGAACCCACATAAAGCTATGAAATAAATACTCCAGTTTTACTTTATTTTCCCAAATAATAATCGCTGCTGGCTACAGCGTCAGATGTGATCAAGTTCTTGAGCCCAGTATTTTTGTTTTTTTATTTCTGGATCAGATTAGCTTCTTTTCACAGAGGGTTGATTCACTTCAATACATTTTTACCCGAGTGAATCAACCTCAAAACAAAAATAGCTCTAAAGTTTGAACAAACTAATGGTAGCATTCTGTGCATGAATGTGAATGTGCTCTTCTGGATGGCACCAAGCAGGTGTTCTGACTGAGTTTGGTAAAATGCAATTTCCTGCTGTGCTTTTACAAACAACGCTGCATTGGCTGGGGGTGAGGGGCTGCAGGGAGGGTGTTGTAAGCATATACGATATGGCCACATTGTGACGAGTCAGCATGAGCGGCTTCATTCACCTTTCCAGCCCGTGAGTTTCAGTTGTGCTTTGGTTAGCCATGCTGCTAACGAAGCCTACTCTACCTTAGCACCAAAAAACTCTGTTTCCCATCTAGTACTAATGAAATGCATGGCATGTCGTAATGGTGCATTAACTGTGGCCTAAATTCAACAGGGAATAGCAGCGAATGCTTATGCTAACATGCTAAACAAACAAGTCTTCTTCCTGTGGGTGTACACATCCTGATTGTCCCCCATACATGATTGGTCAATGCAGTGCCTTTGCTGTAGGATGTCACCACCCAGTTCAGTAGAAGTTAAACTAGATCCAACTTTTTTCTGGTGCTGGCTGCGGTGAACGCAATCCCCAACAGAAATGAATGGAGAGGGCTCCAGTTGTTCACAACTCTGAAACTCAGTGTGAACACAGCCAAATGCTGGGGTCAGACTCGGTGACAGCCCAGTAAAGATCTGACAGGTGTATGTTAATGGAAGACAGCTTGTTCTGATGTAAGGGAACCCCATGAGGTCCAGACACAAAGACTAGCATGGCTGGGTCTATCACTTGCAGTGTACGCTGTGATCCTGCTCATCAGAAGTCTGCCTGTGGCTCTAGTCATTAGCCGGCACCTGAGTCTGAAAGTTCTCCACTCTGTTGTTCCTCACCTATATCACAGCTCTGCCCGGTGTATCCCTGCTCACAGACACAGTGTTCTCCTTCCTCTGTCTGCTGACACTGGCCATGCACACAATGCAGGCCCTGACACAAAGCTGCAGGCTCCCCCTGCAGGTTACACAGTGCACCGCGGTATCCGTCCTGGCAGTCGCAGCGGTACGTCTGTGCATCCAGCGCCATGCACACACCCTTCACACACCTAGACGAACACAGAGGGAAGGGAGTGAAGAAGACGAGGAAAGGAGATTCAACAAGCAGAGACAAAACAACTGAAACACTCAAGACAAAAAAGGGTTTATAAATGTCACATTAACCCTTTTACTGCATGTTAAACTAATGAAGAATGACATTTGTAAAGTGGAGAACTTTCAGAGTAAAGTCTATCATTTGTGCAATAACTGAAATGTCTTTAAATGCCAGAGCAAACCACACTCACTTGTTGCCATCACATGGGTTGACACCAGTTGCCATGGTGACAACATCCACTCCAGTAAGGCCCCCTGTTATGGGCTGGTCACAGTGCTCTCCCATCCAGCCTGAGTGACAGTGACACTGGGGACCCTGGGGGAGAAGACATGTTTAAGCCAGACCCATCACTTGGCCCCAGAGAGGGGCATCAGTCCACGCCATTATAAATCTTCAGGGCCTCATGATGAGCAACATCGTTTTCTGACCCTAACCTATCCTAAAACAGCCCACGTCCCTGTTTGCTTGCAGAAACTAGGATTGCTGTCAGTGTTATCTCTGTTCAGCCACACTGGTCATCACGCAGACCTAACACAACATGATAAGTTGCTTTCTACACTCTCCTTAATGTCCTAGTAATATCAATCAGAAGAAAAATCTCTGAGAAGTCTTCATCCAGGATGGCGCTGATGACAGCTGCCTTGATCACGCGGTCTCTCGTGTGTTTGTTGTTTATCCTTGTTTTCTCGGCCTTCAGCAGAGACGAGCCACTAAACACCAGACTCACTCTGAACACCTTTTTTCCAATTTATGCTAATGCAAAAAGCTGTGTAGGCATTCTGGTCGGGAGGCCAGCGGCCCTCTATGGAATTTGGAGAAAACGCCAGCGAGGGAAGAGAGCAGAGGAGACGCCTATCACTCTGTCCCCCGTGCAGCCCTCGGACTCTCTGATCACTGTATGTTCCATCTTATTCCAACCTACAGGCAGAAACTTAAAGCTGCGAAGTCTGTCGTCAAAACAGTGAAGAGCTGGACTGAGCAGACAAAGTCAGAGCTTCAGGCCTGCTCTGACTGCACAGACTGGAGGGTATTCAAGGCTGCTTCTACAGAGCTGGATGAACTCACGGACACTGTGACGTCATATAACAGCTTTTGTGAGGATGCGTGTGTGCCCACCAAGACCTTCTGCACATACAACAACAACAGTCCCTGGTTCACAGTAAAACTCAAGCAGCTCCATCATGCCAAAGAGGAGACTTACAGAAGTGGGGACAGGACTCTGTACAGCCAGGCCAGGAACACACTGACAAGGGAGATCAGAGCAGCAAAGAGGAGCTACTCTGGAAAGCTGAAAGCTCAGGTTTCAGCCAACGACCTGTGTGGGGGAGCCTGAAAAACACCACTGGCTAAACGTGGTTAAATGTGCTTTTTAAAAAACACCAGGCCCAGACAGTGTGACCCCC